TCCGTACCCGGAGGCAGATCTTTGTCGGTGAAGGTGATCGCCTCCGTTCGCTGCTTCTTCGGCTGGGGGGGAACGTGGGACACCTCCCCAATGTAAAATCGGAAATATGTGTCGCCTTGCTGGATGGCAAGGACCTCCTCGGCCGGCCGAGGAGCTTGCTCAATGAGGCCATGCTTCTCGGCGTAGTCGAGGATGGTGCTGACCGGGTGGGTGAGGGGGACCCCCGGCCGTTCCAACCTAGGCCGCCAGTGGCGGTCTTTCTTGCTTTGTCCACCAGAGCCGTGACGGCCCTGGGCACCCTGGCCGGCCGGGGATGGTCCCGGGGCCGGCGAAGGATTTGTCTTCTTGGAGGGATGGCCTCCCTCTTTTTTGTGGTTGTGGAGCTCGTCAGCGTCGGCGTACAAGCTCCCGCGTTGAAGCGCCTTTGCATACGACCTCGGAGGGTCGGTGATGAGGCTCCTGGCGTACGGGGAGCTGCGAAGGGTTCCCTGGTATAAGACGAGGATGGTGCGCTCATCGGCCCCCTCGACCTCTTCGGTCTCCCTCGTCCACCGATCAATGAATGACCGGAGGGGTTCGTCATGTTGCTGCTTGACGGAGAGGAGATGTGTGAAATACTTCTTCGCACGCTTCCTCCCGGCAAAGTGGGTGAGGAAGCGCTGGGCAAGGTCTTGCCATGAGTCAATACTTCCTTCGGGAAGCGCGTTGAACCACTCGTACGCCGGCACCTCAAGGGTGGAGAGGAACCAACGGGAGAGATATTCGTCTGACGCGTTCACCATCAGCATGTTATTCTGGTAGCGGCTGAAATGTTCCTGAGGGTCTGATCAGCCATCGTAGGACTTGATGGCGTTTCCCCTGTACTTCTCCAGGATGGGGGCCGAGAGCACCCTGTTAGTGAAAGGGGTCCTGGTCCTGACCTGGATGACGGGGTCACCTCGCCCTTCGGCCAACTCCCTCTCAAGGGCGCTGACCTTGTTCATGAGAGCGTTGAGGCCAGGATCGTTGGAGGCGCCGGCCGTGGGGATGTTCGCCGATTGCCTGGCCTCCATCTGGGCCAGCCTCCTTTCCAGCTGGGCGATGACCTCGTCCCGGGGATCCCTGGCGGCCGCAGCGGCGCCCTGCTGGTTCTTCATGCGCTCGTCGTGGACCGCATTGATCTGGTGGCGCACGTCGTCCTCGTGCAACTTTCCCTTGCCCTTGTCCAGGTGGGGCTGGTCCGCTGTCCGGGACACAGACCCCAAGCTTTCTCTGGGCGAGCAAGGCCGATGCTCACCAATCCGCCCTGCCATCCTCTCCGAAACCGGACGACGGCGCGTGTCACCCAGCCTATTGAAGGCAGATACTTTTCCACGCGCTGGGGTCTGCCCAGGCCGAAGAGGGGAAGCGGGGTGGGAGTGGGACGACGCCGTGTCCTGGGCTATCACCCCCTCATCGTTGCCTAACCTGACGGCCAACGGTTGGGGCTGAGGAGGTGGAGTGACATTCCCCCCAGTTCTTGGCAAGAGTGCGCTGAGGACGGTGGGGTTTGGGCCAGGCTGGCGATGATGACCGACAATGCGGCCTGAACGTGTGGGTCAACAGACGGAGAAGCCGCGAACATAGTCTGGGCCGGGGCGTGGCCTGTCTTCTCCGCTTGTTTCTTGTCCAGGCCGATGCGGGCATCAGGGGCTCCGCCGTTGAGTTGGTTGCGGAGGTCCGTCGTGAGGTTGATGGCCTCCTGGAAGACGTCCCCTCCGCCGACCTGGTCGGCTGTGGCGTCCTCCTCATGCTCCCTGGTCTCCTGATCCTCAGGGATGGCCTTGCTGACGAGGTTGCGGTTTGACTTAGTTCTTCCCATGATCAGTGGTTAACTGTGCTTGGTAGCGACGAAGGGTGCTAACTTGATTGTTCTAGCTCTCAATGAAAGCACCAAATGATAGAGTATATATCTAGAGAGAAGTGAGAGCTAGAGAGAGAAGTGCAAGTAAATGCTTCAATAGAATGATTTTGTAACTGCTATAACTACCTCCAGAGGAAGTATTTATAGGAAAAATACGGGCTGGGCTCCCAAGCCTTGGGCTTGGGAGGCCCATTTACAACTGGACCGCTATTGGGCTGAATACAAAGTAACTGATGGGCTATATAAATGAATAAGTGTAAAATCTAGTTCTGCGAGTCCTCCGTGGCCGACGAGGGTCTGGCCGACGAGGGCACGACCGATGAAGGCACGGCCGATGAGCACACCCTAGTTCCCTGGCTTCAGGGGCATATTCTGAGTCGGTCCCTCTTCGGCCGACGAGGGTCCTTTGGCCGACGAGGGGCCGCGTAGTGGCTTGTGCTTTCTGTTCTTCTGAGTATGTGGGTCCTGTGGCCTAGACCCATATACTCCATCAAAACTCATGTAGTTCCATTTGTACATTTTGTCTACGTTTTAGTCCTACTTGAAGCAATTTCTATTTTAGATTCAAGTCATTCTTTTGTATTTTGATATATATGTTATTTGAGATATACTACGTATGTTATTTGATTAGAAGCTTAGATATTTGCAATGTTTGTTGTGAGTGTATTTTATTTTTTTTAGACATCTAGTTCGAGTTTTTTCTGGGTTCAACCTGATCCAATCCAAACCCGAGGCTCTTAAAACCCGAACCAGCCCAAAATTTTAGTTTTGGCTAGGGTTTTTTACGATCCTAGCCAAAATCCGACCCAACCCAACCCGATCACACCCCTAGATCGATGTTATTCGCGAACAAAAGGAAGTTACATTTTTGCCATCGATTATTTAGTTATTCTTGTTGTACACAAAATTTGTACACAAATTGTACACTATTTGTCCACACAGACAATTACCAAATAATTCATGTTTTATTAAACGAATAGACTGTGCACTAGGGTTATAAACAATCTGAATCGAGTCGAATAGTGTGATTTTATATTTGTATTTGTTTAATTGTTCAAATACAAATCCGAATTCGAAGATGAAACGAATATTAATTTCGATTTGTATTTGTATTTGTTTAACAATATGAATAGTTAACGAATCATATACGAATATTAAATCGATTTGAGCATAAGTTATATATTGATCAAATATCACTTTAAAAAACTTTTTTTTATATATTTGATGTTATAAATGCATGTTATTACTTAATATGTGTTCTTAAAATTTTATTTGAAACATTACATTTTTCTTTAAAATTTAATGGATCAATGCACATTTTGGTTGTACACAATATACTAAAGTGAAACAATTTTATGATTAATAAACATAAATCTATTTCAAAGATTTTGAAATAAACACAAACACACACATATTAGAAATTATACTTATAATGTGTAAAATAAGTTGATAATTGTATATATCAAAGTCAAACAAATACTTTTATATTAGATATCTAGTATTGTTGCTAATAAAAAATCATTAGATATATAGTTTATACTATGCATACACATATTTAGTGGATAGTTGATGCACACAAATTATAAGTAGTTGATTTTGTATATGTATAAACAAATATATGTGATTATTCTTCAAATCGAATACATAATTATTTATATTCGTATTTGAAAGATGTTTGAACTAAAAATATGATTTGTATTCATATTTATATTCTATATTTTCAAATTTAAATCATAAATTTTGAATCCAAATCTCGAATCGAATTAAAATTATTTGTTTTGTTTACAACCCTTACTTCGTATGATACTTTTGATCTATTACAAATGGACTTGGAATTTGTATGCGTAAATGCATATATTAGAGCTATAATTTGAGGGTATAACCGTGTTTTAAAAGTTATTATAGTAGTATTACTTTTATTATTAATATTATTAATATCATCGCTATTATTTATCGAACATATTTGATTAACATTTGAAATGAATACACTGATATTCTTATTTGTATTTGATAACAATTCAAATAAAATATAATATTCTTATTTGTATTTGTATTTGGATTTTTCGAATTCGAAGTCTTAAACGAATTTGAATTCCGAACTGAGTATAAATTATTTGATTCGTTTACAATCCTACTATGTAAATACACAATTAGGGCTGTATGTACAATTTGTGTAATGATTTTGTGTACAAATGTAATTTATCTTAGGGAGTATTTAAGATGATTTACAAGATATACTCCGCATAATTTTACATACGGAATATGTTTTTAAATTCACATAGGCTATGTACTATTCGAATGCTCTATTCTCTCTAGAGAGAGAGGAACCCTAACGGCGTCTCCCCTATTTGTAAGGGTTAAGATATTTCGTCGCCCCCTATCATTATGGGACGGGAAAACTGTCAAATAGGTCCCCGAACTTTCATAAAAAGGTCAATTAAGTCCTTCAATATGAGGTTCTGTCCGGACATCGCGATTTGAGGCAGTTTCCGGTGGAATTTTTTTATGAAATTTTTTGAGCATCTTATTCACCAAGTCTAGTTTACTCATACCAAATTTCAGCTAAAATTTCAATCAGGAACTCATTCAAATTAGTTCTTGAATATAACTGCGCATTGTTGCGTTCTCGAATTAATTTGAATGCGCTCCCGATTAAATTTTTAGCTGAAATTTGGTATGAGTAAACTACACTTGATGAATAAGATGCTCAAAAAATTTCATCAAAAAATTCCACCGGGAACCGCCCCAAATCGCGACGATCGGACAGAGTCTCCTATAGAAGGACTTAATTGACTTTTTTATGAAAGTTCGAGGACCTATTTGACAGTTTTCCCTTATGGGATTGGAACGGCAGATTACACTGATTTTAAGTGTTCTAACGCTTGAGATTACAACTACGTTGGAAGAGATACCGTTGACGGATGAACGAGGTGCGGCTGGGAGGTTGTATCGAGGCTGGATCGTGAAGTCTTGGTCGGCCATTCCGACGGTGGTGGAGTTTTGTGGAACCCTAACGGCTCGTCCTCATCCGAAACCACCTCCATACCAGAAAGAGCTTTGTGGAAAGATTTTATTTCACTATTATTTTCTCTTTTGTAGCATTTGTTTCTGTTTTCGAGTAGATTTCATTTGAATGTTTGGATTTGTGGAATTCCTTTGGCAGACATGGATTCGGTTCCGGTCATTCTAGACCTAAATTTACCAATTTCAAATTTAGCGAGTCATGTTATTTTGTATGAAGTGAATGACTTTAAGTCCACGCCGGAATTTCTCATGTGCGGAATTGGCCCATTAATTAAACCTGCAGAAATTGGAGAAGCAGTGTCTACATATTCCGAGGCCCTAAATTGCGTTCATTCTCCCTATTTATTACCCCGGAGAACTAATTGGTTCCGTAGAGAAATAGACTGCGGCAAAGGTGCCCTCGTTCTCTCTCAACACTCAATCAGATCAGCAACCATGTCCTCCAAGCAAGGTCCTTCGTCATCTTCTTGACGATTAATTTTTTTTTACTTTAATTTGTCGTTAGGTTGAATTTGTTTTAGTTGACAGGATGAAGCATGAGAGATATTAAGGATTTATATTTATGTGTTCTATCTATTTATAATTTGATTACTGTATTCTGACTGTAATGGGTGATCTTTGTGAAGACAAACCCTCTATCCGTAGCCATTAGAACGTAGTACTTCTTTATTATTAAGTTTAATCGGACGAGTTAAGCAACGTTAGGTTTGAATTTCGTTTTGTTTTGTCTCCCTTTTGAATCTACTTATGATTTTCCACAACCTACAGGTGGAAAGGCAAAGCCTTTGAAGAAACCGAAGTCTGAAAAGGCAGAGTTAGACGATGTGATTCTTCTGGCTCTAAGTCTGGATCTTTAATATCTGTCCTAATTTTAGTTTATCTGTATTTGATGTGCATTTTTCAGTGCTTTGGTGGTAAATTTTGTAATGAATAATGATATGAGCTTTGTCTGTCTATTTACACCCCTGGCAGCCCTAGTCATCGTGGTACAAGGCAAAATTTTTAAAGATTGTATTCAACATCAGGATGATCCTTCCTAATGGTGCACATCATTCAAATTTTTGTCTTGTGCCATGAATCCATGATGCTATTGCATTTTGATAGATGTATTGCTTTATAATTTGTTAGAGTCCATCTTTGGTTCTCCCTTATCCTATCGTATCTTTAATTTGCTCTTCCACCCATTTTGTGCTATACTTCTCAATGTGAATTCTATTTGTTCAAGTTTTATGGCATATCCATCAATTTTCGTTTGCTCTCCTTTTTCCTGGTATCTTCCTTGTTATTTCAACTTTCTGATTCAGGTTTAATATGCCCCTGAACTATATATGAAAAATATACTCCTTAAATTTCTTTTAGGTCAATCAAACACAAACTATAAAGTTGGATCTAATATGTTCTTATGTCCAATAGTTGAGGGGTGTAAATGTTTTATGATGTAGTTCAATGCTATATGTGTTTCAATTTTACAATTTTGTGCTGAATTGATTCCTTAAAAAGCTGAGGCATATATATGTACCCTCATACTATGTATATAGTTAAAGTTAAAGTCTAAATTTGCTCTTATTTTATATTTTTTGTACTAAGTTGACTCAAAAAGAAGTTGATGGGTTAAGTTTATATGTTCTTCGCCATAACGGTACATTTGTTCCTTTAAAACCTGTAAATTACACTCATTCTTGTCTCCCTATTGTATTGTGCCTTTTAAGACCTCAAGCAATTTGGGAAAGGTAATTATGTTGTTGTTTTGAACACATTAAATAATTTGATATTGTTACTTAAATCCTGCCATTTTTATTCTTTTTATTCATTACTGGAAATATGAATCACCCTACATCTCTTATTCTCTTATACTATATAGCAAATGAAAAAGGTGACATGTTAGGCACCTCTTCTTTGAATGCTAAGATTATTTTGCTGCCGTTATTGTTCTAAAATTGCTGATTATTTGGTTCCCTTTTTACAGATTGACAAAAATTACCTGCAGAAAAAGAGGGAAGAAGAAAAGGCGTGTATTTTTTTCTGATACTTTTGCAGTTGCTACTTTTTTGTGCAATTGCACTGAATTTACCATATGTGTCCGTGTATCTATTATTTGAGCAGGCACTTAAGGAGCTTAAGATAAAAGCTCAGACCTCGGGGGCATTTGGAGGCGCAGGACTGAAGAAAAGTGGCAAAAAGTGATCAACTATCCTTGCATTGGACAGTATCATAATGCGGCGTATTGGTGGATGCATTGTTCTTCATGTTTTTAATTCCTTGTTTGATTTCTTTCTAAGACCTGTGCTTTTTGTTCGGAAAACTGAATGAATATTTCTGCTTCTATCATTATGAAAGTTCGAACTTGTCAATAAATAGTTGTGTTTTCTTTTTAACTCGAAAAGTCTGCCGAAGTCAGTGGGATATGGACCTATGTAAACCTTGTTAAGCTTTCCTAATAAAAAGTACCTGACCATTGGTAGAGCAACTATCTCACCCAGTGGTGGAACCACCTTGGGGACCTTGGAGGGGCTTTTTGGTAAAACGAAGGTCTCCGGAAGATTGAGCACTATATAAAAAAATAACTACAACGGGATTCGAATCCTAGATCTTTTCATAATCCTAGGAAATGCACGCATCTCATTCACTCTATTGCAATGTCTTCTTGTTAACAGAGTGGTTATTTAGTGTATAACACACATACTTTATAAATATTTACAATTTACAATTTTATATTTAATATATACTTCCCCCGTTCCATAAAAGTTGCAACATTGGAATTTTTGCACTATTCACACACCTTACTTTGACTATGATTTTCTAATAATATAGATAATAAAAATATTATGTATAAAATATTAATAAATTTGTATTAATGTATATTTCCAATATATTAACTTTTTTTAATGTTTACTAATATGTAAATAAATACAATTACAGTCTAAGTTGCGCGTTGGCAAACGTGAAAGTCAAACTGTTGCAACTTTTATGAAACGAAAGATAGTATATAATAAATATAAAAACAACTGTAGGGGTTCAAGCCTCTCCAAGCCCCTTGCTAGTTCCGCCCCCGATCTCATCCATTCTTATTCAAGAAAAGCCTTTTGTACACACTTGCGATAGACAAAAAGCCTTGACATGCAGTTTGCCTTGACATGCAGTTTGTACAAAGTGTGTGAACAATAAATCTACAACAAGAATTGTTAATTCTTATTAGTGGACTTTCCACACATGGAACATGACTTTGAAAGTACATCCGTTCTTAATGAAGGCCCATGAATTTAAACTAGTACAAATATGGATTAGGGTTAGACTTTTCAAAAATGCAGCTCATTAGTGAGGGCAAGCTTGGCTAGGGATGGACTAGGACGGGTTGGCCTGGCTCGGGACCCGGCCTGGTATTGTGCAGGCCCGACCTGACCTTGCCGGGCGGTACTGGGACTGGAGACTTGAACCAGCTGTTTATAGGGCGGGCTATGGGCCCTAATTTTAATGGACCCGACTGGCCAGGTTGGGACCGGTCCAGGTCATTTTGTTTTTGTTTTTTTGGCATTGGGTTGCTGCTAGGTGGGTTGGGCTGGGTGTTTTGGCGGGGTTTGGAGGTGGGGGATGGGGGGAATTCGAAAAAACTAATTTAAAAAAAAATTGACATGACTCCGGCCCATTCGGCCCGGTCTTTGTTCAAACCCAACCCGGTATCGGGCCTTCATCCCAAACCCCAATCCTGCCCAGTCCCGGTCCGACTTGAAAACTGTCCACCCGGTCGCTCGGTCTAAAAAATGTGCACTTTTCAGACTCATTGAAAAAGTTGAGAACATTTCAAATTTCAAAATTTAAAATAACATTAGTATATTTTTAAATATACTAATTACTGTTCAGGAGTCTGATCTGTGAGGTCCATTAAGGTCCGATTAGCCTGTTTCCGCTCATTCGAAATTTCAAATAGCTTTGTACCCCTTCCCCTATATATGCATAACAAGTTTTCTTCCATGTTTTCGGATCCTTTCTTCTCTCAGTAGCTAGTCTTCTTCTTCTTCTCCACACTCTCCCTTCTCTATCTATTAGCTTGCAACTTCATTAATGGCTTTCAAGGCTTAATACTTGTATTATAATGGTGATGAGTTTATTAATAAAATGAGAGTCGCTTGAACATTAGCTTGAAAAGTTCTGTGATTTTCACTCTTTCGGGTTTCCACGTCAAAATAAAGTGTTCATATCATTTTATACATTTATTTACTACTAGTATGTGTACCCGTGCACTGCACGGTAATATATATGCTTAAAGTTTTTCTTATGAGACATATAAATGAAAATAAAACAAAAACAAAACAAAATTGTAGATGTAATGAATGGAATGTGAATTCGTAGATTACACAATACATTTGATTGCATTACAAAAATCAAATTTGAGAATGGTTAAGATGATTGTCAAAATTAGAATTCAAAAGAGAACCGTATTGACTATTAATGAGGCTATATATTGAAATGACACAAAACCCACAAGGTAACCCGTTTCAACCCATTTAGTGGTGTATTAGGATTATTATTTTCCCCAATTCATTCACGTGTCTTGATTAATTTGTCCCAATAAAATGTTCAAGCCACTCTCATTTTATTAATACACTACTCACCATTTTAGTACAAGTATTAAGCTCCCATTAATGGAGTTGTAGCTACTCCAGAGAGAAGGTGGTATTGGAGGAGGAGGAGGAGGAGAGGAAGAGGAAGAAGATGAAGAAGAAGAGGAAGAAGCTCCCAAAACATAGAGGAAACCTCCTATATATAGAAAAAGGGGAAAGGGAGTACAAGGCTACTCTAATGGGCTGGCAGGGCCGAAACGGGCCAACTAGGTAGAAAACAGGCCAATTCAGTTGATCTGTGAGGTCCATCGGTCCCATTTCGGATGAATTCAGCTGTACTAAGTTGCCAAACAACACTCATCATTATCAGACACAACTCTCCTTTTTTAAATTGTTATAACTTGGTCGTCAAAAAATGTTACTCTCTCCGTCCCGGAATTATCTTCATACTTTCCTTTTCGGTCTGTCTCAAATATATCTCCTTTTTCCCCTTTTAGCAAAGAATTTGTGGTTCACAACCATTCTTACACATTCCTACACATTTCTCTTTCTTCTGCACAACTCTCCACCATACATTTCCCACTATCTTAATATGTGTGCCAATTGTACTTGCGAAGATAAATATGGGACCGAGGGAGTACAATTTATTTTTTTACAATCTGATTTTTATAAAAAGTAAATGAAAAGTTATATTTTTATTATCTTTCATATGACACCATATTTAATATGTAAAAATATAAATAAATTTGAAGATACGATGAGTGGAGATTTTTAGGCTCGTTTTTTAAATAGATCTATGCTCTAAAATTATGACTTCATAATTATATAGCGCAATTTCATGTTGTAATAAGGGAAAATTTTATTTATTGACACTATGAGCACGTTAGGTGACCATGTTTTCGGCTAATCGGGTATATCGATTAACTTTTTTATCAAACACGTAACTTTTGATTTCACGCTGAATTGTGTAATAACAATAAAAGATAAGGTTGAATATACTTTTCTGACTGTATTGACTGAAGTTACGATAGAAATCATTTTAAGGATTTCTTCTTATACTTTTTCCTTTATCTTATCAATACAAAATATTTTAAATATAACTTTTTAATAAATCAGTAGAATCAGTCAATCCAGTCATTTCATCTAGAATTTAATAAATTTCAGTAAAATCGACTAATTTATTCAATTTTAGTGTTTTACAATGAGTTCTAAAAAATTATGAAATCTTAATTTTAGAACATGGATCTACCACTCAAAAAAGCTTGTAGCCTAAAAAACCTCACTGACACAGGGTGTACTGATGTGTTAACCTAAAAAGCTTGTAGACAAAACAAGACATTTTTTTGTCTATGGAGCGAGATTTTCACAGATAAAAAAAACCCTCACAGACACCGTATGTACTAATGTGTATATGTAGACGTACATACAAGAATTATTTATTTTCATATACACGTTTTGAAAAGACAAAACCATCCGTTGAACAGAGGGCGGAGCTTTAAAGTTCAAACCTCACTGGATACGCGAACTAATTTGAATCTAGAGAGAGAAGCACTTTGGAGAGGGAGAAAGTGCTACTCCGTACCTTCATTCCCATTTCTTGCTACCAGAGAGGTGAAGCCGCTGGCTTCTTCTCGGGGATTGATCTTCTTGAAGTAGTAACTTAAGAAATGAATGCAGTGGGAAGGCAGAGATCTGGCGCTGCGGCGCTGCGGCCGCTCACCGACAACTTCATGGAAAATCCATCCAGCGACAGATGGATGCAGTCCACCGGCCTTCAACATTTTCAGCCATCTTCTGGCAACTCTATTCCTCCACTACAGGTCCGAAAACGTATCTGCGTTTCCTCTGTCTAATACTTTAGATCATATGGGTGCTCATTCTTAGATCGGGAGATTTATTTTTTAAGTTTTGATATTGTTTTGCTTCCGGAATAGGACTCCGGGTACTACGGTGAAGCTCAGGGTTCAAGAGCTTATATGGCTCCTCAGAGCACTTACGGAGGAGGGAGTGATAAGTTTTTGGAGCCATTGATGCAGCCAGGACAGAGGAGGAGTGGAGACGACCAAGCCCTGCAGAATGACTTCAGCCCAGGACTGTTAGATCTACATTCCTCAGACACTGAGCTTCTCCCTGAGGTAATGTTCCTTGATTAAGATAAGCCCTTTTTGCTCTCTTTATGCCCAACTGGTTTTAGAAGTTACAACTTTGATCTGCATCTTCATGTTGTTCAAATATCTTTTTTTTTGTTCGAGTTTTTAGTAAGTGCAATCATTTCTGTTTAGGCTTTTTTGCTTGTGTTGAACTGTTTAAGAAATGACCCTTTAGCCTGAAATGCTATCAAATAATCATTTGGTAAAGTCCTGAAGAATGATGCTGAGAGTGTTCAATAAAGTCTGGATTTTGCAATGCAATGTCAAGTCCTTAACTTTCCTATTTCTCCATTTTCCAATAAGTGTATTTCTAAGAAGAGTAAGAAGCACCAAAACTTCCCACACCTCACGTTTCACTTTTCGAGAAACTATAAAGTTTTAAAAAATAGAGAAACTTCATTATTTAGTGTTTGCGAAACATCGGGTTTCTCTTTCTTTTCTCTTTGATGTGATTCTAGATGGATATTAGTGGACAGTTTGTCGAACTTCTTAATGGAATCCTTTGTAAGATATCTTCATGCATGGTCTATGTTGCTAGAAATGTATTGCATTTGCATTTGATTATGCATTAATATGTCAATAATTCCAATATTTATATGTATAACAAATTTTATCATTGTTCGGTTAGCATGCACTAAAACATCCAAGCCTTATTCCCAAAAGAACTTGGGTTTGGCATTGAATGGTTAGAATAACTTATATGAAAATAAATGTGTTTACATATATGAAATAAATATGGAGGCATAAATGTATTTCAAAATAAGCTTAAAAATATGTTTACATATATTTATAAGTTTATCCTTGGAGTTTTTTAATACCGTTTTCAGCATATTCCCATTTCACATTCCACGTTTCCATGCTAAGTAGCTGTACTTGTTACTTCAAATATACAGTACAATGTTTTGATTGTACAACTGATTGGTTGGGATAGTAAAAAAACATAACCTAATGTTCCCATGTATGAAATGTGACTGCAACTCTGCAAGATCTAGATACATAACGACCTCTCTGTGACCGAAGCATCCTATTTTATTACTCTAGATGAAACTAACTTTATAACTCACATATGTTATTATTTGGTGATGAATTATCTGCTTCTAAATTATTTGTGGGCATTTTGTGTACAGTTTCCTGTTGCCAATAACCAGCCCTGTGCTCCTTCCATGCATCATTATGCTCGAGGAAAAATTAGTGAGGACTCAGAGGCATACATTGCAAACTATAAACAAAATGGAAAAGTTCGTGGCCTGAGTGATAGCAATGTTACAAAGAGCTTTGCTTCTGATAAGGAGAGGGCTAGCAATGTTGCTAAGATCAAAGTAGTGGTATGTTTCGTCTATCATTCTTGTATTGTTTATAGAAGTTGTATGCACTCCATTCAACTGCTATTAAAAAATTGAGTGCGCGTCACAAATGTGTCGAGGACTTTTAGTTATTCTTTGTGAATTGCTTACTGAGATTTTTACTTTATGAAAACGATATAATTTCCATGTTAACATTGTTGCAAACGGTTAAATTCTTGCAGGTTCGAAAGAGACCTTTAAACAAAAAGGAACTGACAAAGAATGAGGAAGACATAATAGAAACTCGTACAAACGCATTGACAGTTCATGAGACAAAGCTTAAGGTTTGTCATTTGTGGTCCAGAAATTTCTGGTAGTGCTCTTGTTGTTTATGCCGTAATAAGTTACTGAGTGGACAAAATATTGTTTTAACATTAGTATGTCTTTAAATTTCTTCTTCTTTTTGTATGTTTCTCACATTTGGATCTTCCGTTTTATATATGGATCTTCCATTTGAGTTATGTTGCTGCGCTGTCTTCAGTTTCTGAGCTGCAACATATAAATTAAGTCACTCTTCAATCTGGCTAAGAATCATATGGACAAAGGTCTTATGAACATTACAACGACAGCCATGGACCATACATTTTTGTACTCTATATGAACATTTCCTTCTTTTTTGTTTGTATCATTGATCCAGTAATTACTCTTTTTCAGTTATTTTACAGAAAAATGGATTTGAGTAATAGAAAATCCTCAACTTTACATATATTGCCCAGGTTGACCTAACTCAATATCAAGAGAAACATGAGTTTGTCTTTGATGCAGTGTTGAATGAGGAGGTTTCAAATGATGAGGTGATTACATTATTCAATTTACTTTCATATAGACAACCTTAAAATTGTGATTATGTACCAGTGAACTCTTTTTATATAAATTCTTAGGTGTACCATGAAACTGTTGAGCCCATTGTTCCGATAATTTTCCAACGGACAAAAGCTACTTGCTTTGCATATGGGCAAACAGGTAAATTGAGAATATTGGATAAACCATGCTTCAATTAGTGTTTGACTGCTTGACGCCTTGACCCCAATATGTGACAAAGCCATTGCTTGCTCTTCCCGCATTGCTATATGTATTTTTAATAGATGTTTTACATATTCCACTATACATTAGTTTCCATTTTTTCACAAATTCATATTGTTTATTTCTCACTCATAAGATCTTTTGAACCATTAGTCATTATCATTTACAAGTGTGCTCTTCAATAATTCAAAGTGCAATGAAAATAGAGTCAGTGGAATTCACATGAATTGAGATCAGAGAAGAAAAATATGATGGACTACTGTCATTCTTTGGTCGGTTGGTCATTAAGATCCTCCGTGATTATGGTTGGTGAAAAGTAACTTCTTTTACACTCTTCAACCTTTAAATACCACAACATTGTTCTCCATTGCATTTTCTTTGACTTTTTTTGTTTTTATTTTAATATTTTAAACCTTCTACAGGAAGTGGGAAAACTTATACAATGAAACCACTACCGTTAAAGGCATCCAGGGATATTCTGAGGCTCATGAACTACACTTACCGGAATCAGGGCTTTCAATTGTTTGTTGGCTTCTTTGAGATTTATGGAGGAAAACTTTTTGACCTTCTTAATGATCGGAAGTAAGCCTTCTTAGCATCTAGGAAGTTTCAATCTTATAATATTTCATGGTGCACCCGGAAAATATGCATATTTGATCACGCAGGATTGGAGGTTGACACTTGACAGTTAAAACTAGTTTCGTTGGAATGTAATTGGCAATTTGGACCTATTGCTTTAGAACATTCAAATATCAACAATTTAGTCCCGCAACCACAAAATGTGCAAATTTAATGAGAAAATAATGCTTTAAGTAGAGATTTATTTCAGATTTATGTTTTATTAAACTAAAATGTGCTTAATATGCATTTTAAAGAAATGCATTTCTGGATTTTATAGATGTAATAAAATTTTCATGCCACCATCATTGCACTTTATCTTTATTGGAAGTCTTTTATGCATGGACCAACTGTTGCTTCATAACAAAGAAGCGTAGACAGTTTAGTGAACCATTTGCTTTATTCCATCATATTCTCAAGCCAAAAAATAGTGAGTCTTTGGCTCCATTGCAAATGATGGAAAGAGAATATAATACAAACCTCAATGAGATAAATTTTGTTAACCCCTATAGTTATGTTACCTGATTTTTTTGTTTCCTTTCACAAACTTTTAATTTCATTGTTCATGGTAAATGAAACAAATTCTTTTTTCACAGAAAACTTTGCATGAGAGAAGATGGTAAGCAGCAAGTGTGTATTGTGGGGTTGCAAGAGTACAGGGTTTCAGATGTGGAGATGATCAAGGAACTGATTGATAGGGGAAATGCAACAAGAAGTACAGGCACCACTGGTGCCAATGAGGAATCTTCTAGGTCACATGCTATACTTCAACTATCGATTAAGAGGTCAGTTGATGGCAGTGAATCCAAGCCCACTCGAGTTATTGGGAAGCTCTCCTTTATTGACCTTGCGGGAAGTGAACGTGGTGCTGATACTACTGACAATGATAAGCAAACAAGGTAAATGTTACACCCTCGGTCCCAAATAAGGGATATTTCTGATTTCGAAATTAGTGCTAATTTTTTCTGTCATTTTTGTTTTCACCAAGCACAAAATAAAATTTGAGAGATTTTCCTTTAGCCGAATAGATCCTCCTCACCTTGTGTCTATAAGTAAATCATTTTTCAATTTTTTTAATGCGAATTGTACTCCACAGAATTGAAGGGGCTGAGATAAATAAAAGCCTGCTCGCACTGAAGGAATGCATTAGAGCTCTTGACAACGAGCATGGCCATATACCATTCAGGGGAAGTAAACTAACAGAGGTCCTTAGGGATTCATTTGTTGGAAACAGTCGAACCGTGATGATTTCATGCATATCTCCAAATGCTGGATCCTGTGAACATACTTTAAACACATTGAGATATGCTGACAGGTAACCAACTTATCAATATTATATTCAAAGCATTAGTGATTATCATTTTTCTCGCCCAATGTTTTTAACTTCCAAATCTCTACAATCCACACAGGGTGAAGAGCCTTTCGAAAGGGGGGAATAACTCCAAGAGAGATGCTCTGTCTTCATCACTTAACCTGAGGGAGTCCACAACACTGCCTTTGTCTTCTGTAGTCTTACCTTCTGTACCAACGTATGAAGATGACACGGGGCCCGATGATGAGGAACTCTATGAAAGAGATATTCCAATACCAAAACTCGAGACGTTCAGCACTACCGTTGCAGAAGAAAAATCTCGTAAAGGCAATGAACAACCAATGTGGAAAGAGCCCAAGTATTTGGCTTCTGGAAATGAGTTAAACGATCTGCTGAAGGTGATATGCTTTAATGTAGTCTATGAAGTAAATGTTTATTTTACCCTTTATATCTGAAGTAACTAATCCCATATTTTGCTGACTTCTCTGTGACCTCATATTTTATCTTTTCAGGAAGAGGAAGATCTTGTAAATGCCCACCGAGGACTAGTGGAGGAAACAATGGACATTGTTAAAGAGGTTTAAAACGTCATTCACCATATCTTTTACGTAGTATTTAACTACCGTATTATTATCATTGTTATCATTATTAATATTACGTTATATGTTTCAATGAAACTTTTGCACCACTTGGAGAAGTTGACATGCCCCTACCTGTTTCAGGAAATGAACCTATTAGTTGAGGCAGATCAACCAGGGAATCAATTAGACAATTATGTATCTCAACTGAATGCCATACTTACCCAAAAGGCTGCTGGCATCCTTCGGTTGCAAAAACGTTTGTCACATTTTCAAAGGCTTCTAAAGGAGCATGATGTCCTCTTACTGTCTTCATTGCCCCACTAGTAGGAAAAATTCACATGTAAAGAGGAAACCTGAAACTCGACCATTCAAAATTCTACGTGCTGCAAAATTTGTGATTAAAAAGTTTCTGTATGTTTAACTTTGTATTTTGTTCTTCTGTTTTGCGAGTAAAGGCTCGCTGGAAGCCTGGAATATATACAATTTGATTATCATCAATTGTCATGATACTTCTGGGGTTTTCATCCGAATAAAAATGTACGCAGCATATAATTGATGGAGTATATGGGTCTGAGCCCCCGGACCCACGTACTCAGAAGAACAGAAAGCACAAGACACCGAGTGGCGCCCACGTCGGCCAAGGGACCCCCGTCGGCCGAGAAGGCGCCAACTCAGATTATGGTCCTGAAGCCAAGGAACCCGGGTGCCCTCGTCGGCCGTGCCCTCGTCGGTCGTGCCCTCGTCGGCCGTGCCCTTGTCGGCCACGCCCTCGTCGGCCGCGAAGATCTCACAGAACCGGATTTCACACTTACTCATTTGTACAGCCCATTAGTGGCTTTGTATTCGGCCCAGTAGCGGTCCAGTTGTAAATGGGCCTCCCAAGCCCAAGGCTTGGGAGCCCAGCCCGATTTTCTCTATAAATACTCCCCTTGGGAGTAGTTATAGGGGTTACAAATTCATTCTATTGAAGCATATTATTGCACTTCTCTCTCTAGCTCTCACTTCTCTCTAGATATACTCTATCATTTGGTGCTTTCATTGAGAGCTAGAACAATCAAGTTAGCACCCTTCGTCGCTACCAAGCACAGCTAACCACTGATCATGGGAAGAACTAAATCAAACCGCAACCTCGTCAGCAAGGCCATCCCTGAGGACCAAGAGGCCAGGGAGCACGACGAGGGCACCACGGCCGACCAGGTCGGCGGAGGGGACGTCTTCCAGGAGGCCTTCAACCTCACGGCGGACCTCCGCAACCAACTCAACGGTGGAGCCCCTGATGCTCGCATCGGCTTGGACAAGAAACGAGCTGAGAAGACGGACCACGCCCCGGCCCAGCCTATGGCCGCGGCCTCTCCGTCCGTGGATCCACAGGTCCAGGCCGCGCTATCGGTCATCATCGCCAGCCTGGCTCAGAACCCCACCGTCCTCAGCGCACTCTTGCCAAGGACCGAGGGGAACGTCACTCCACCTCCTCAGCCCCAACCGTTGGTCGTCCAGATAGGCAACGATGAGGGGGTGATGGCCCAGGACACGGCGTCGTCCCACTCCCACCCTGTTTCCCCTCTTCGGCCTGGGCAGACCCCAGCGCGTGGAAAAGCCTCTGCCTTCAACAGGCTAGGTGACACGCGCCGTCGTCCGGTTTCGGAGAGGATGGCAGGACGGATTGGTGAGCCTCGGCCTGGCTCGCCGAGGGAAAGCTTGGGGTCTGTGTCCCGGACAGCGGACCAGCCCCGCCCGGACCAGGGCAAGGGGAAGTTGCACGAGGACGACGTGCGCCACCAGATCTATGCGACTCACAACGAGCGCATGAGGAACCAGCCGGGCGCCGCAGCGGCCGCCAGGGACCCCCGGGACGAGGTCATTGCCCAGCTGGAGAGGAGGCTGGCTCAGATGGAGGCCAAGCAGTCGGCCAACATCCCTACGGCCGGCGCCTCCAACGACCCCGGCCTCAACGCGCTCATGAACAAGGTTAGCGCCCTGGAGAGGGAGCTGGCCGAGGGGAGAGGTGACCCCATTATCCAGGTCAGGACCAGGACCCCTTTCACCAACAGGGTCCTCTCGGCCCCCATCCCGGAGAAGTACAGGGGAAACGCCATCAAGTCCTACGACGGCCGATCAGACCCCCAGGAACACTTCAGCCGTTATTAGAACAACATGCTGATGGTGAACGCGTCCGACGAATACCTCTACCGTTGGTTCCTCTCTACTCTCGAGGGGCCAGCGTACGAGTGGTTCAACGCGCTCCCCGAAGGGAGCATCGACTCATGGCAGGATCTTGCCCAACGCTTCCTCACCCACTTTGCCGGGAGGAAGCGTGCGAAAAAGTATTTCACCCACCTCCTCTCCGTCAAGCAGCAGCATGATGAGTCCCTCCGGTCGTTCATTGATCGGTGGACGAGGGAGACCGAAGAAGTCAAGGGGGCCGACGAGCGCACCCTCCTCGCCTTGTATCAGGGAGCCCTCCGCAGCTCCCCGTACGCTAGGAGCCTCATCACCGACCCCCCCGAGGTCGTACGCCAAGGCGCTCCAGCGAGGAGGCTTGTATGCCGACGCCGACGAGCTCCACAATCACAAGAAAGAGGGGGGTCATCCATCCAAGAAGACAAATCCTTCGCCGGCCCCGGGTCCGTCCCCGACCGGCCAGGGTGCCCGGGGCCGTCACGGCTCTGGTGGACAGAGTAAGAAAGATCGCCACTGGCGGCCGAGGTTGGAACGGCCGGCGGTTACCCTCACTCACCCGGTCGGCATCATCCTCGACTATGCCGAGAAGCATGGCCTCATCGAGCAGGCCCTTCGGCCGGCCGAGGAGGTCCTTGCCATCCAGCAGGGCGGCACATACTGCCGGTTCCACAAGAACTCGTCGCACAACACCGACGATTGCATCACACTGAAGAAGGCCATCGAGCGCCTTATTCGCCAGGGGGAACTCTCCCAGTTTGTTAAAGGTGGCCCACGCAAAAACACATGGGTAAACACCGGCAAACATGGGGGCGAACCCTCTGCGAAGAAGCGGGAGATTGGTAGGCTCAGTGACGACGAGGACTTCGAAGAGCCCCCGCCAAAGAAGAATCACATTCACCTCATCGTAGGTGGGAACACTGGGGGGGACTCCGCCACTCAGAGAAAGAAATGGGCCCAATCCCTCAACATTGGGGAGGTGTCCCACGTTCCCCCCCAGCCGAAGAAGCAGCGAACGGAGGCGATCACCTTCACCGACAAGGATTTGCCTCCGGGGACGGGATCACACAGGGACGCCCTCGTCATCCGGTGTGAGATCGGTGACTCCATCATCCAACGCACTTACATCGATACGGGGAGCTCCGTCAACGTGATGTACCTGGATACCTTCCGGCAGCTGAAGCTGGACAGAGCTCTGCTAAAGCCGATCAAGACACTGTTATCCGGCTTCACCGAGGACTCTATCGACGCCGAGGGCACGATAGTCCTCCCCGTGGAGGTCGGTGACGGCCCCCACCGCGCCAGGATGAACATGGAGTTCATGGTGGTCAACCTCCAGTGCGCCCACAACCTGATCTTGGGCCGGCCAGCGCTGGAGGACTTGGAGGCCATCATCTCCATGAAGCACTTGTGCCTAAAGTTCCCCACCAATGACGGCATCGGCTACGCCAGAGGAAATCAGAGGATAGCCAGAGCATGCTACCTCAAGCTAACGAGGCCGGCCGAAAGGGAAGGACAGAGGATAGACACCATCACGGCCGCCGTTGCCAAGGACGAGGAGAGGCTGCATGCCGAGCCGGCCGAGGAGGTCGAGGAAGTCCCTCTGAATACCTCCCGGCCAGAGCGGGTCCTCAGAATCGGGAAGCAGCTCCCTCAGGACCAACGAGACGCCATCCTCCTCGTCCTGCGGTCATACGCCGTTGTCTTCGCGTGGGGCCCGGATGACATGCCAGGCATCAGCCGCCAGGTGATTACTCACCGGCTGACCGTCGATCCGGCCTCCACGCTCGTCAAGCAGAAGCGGCGCTACTTGTCCGCTGACAGGCGGGACTTCGTCAAAGGAGAGGTCGCCATGCTCCTCTCAATCAAACACATTAAAGAGGTGAAGTACCCGACGTGGTTGGCCAACGTCGTCCTCACCCAGAAACCGCCAACATTCAGGATGTGTGTTGATTACACTGACCTGAACAAGGCGTGCCCCATGGACCCGTTCCCTCTCCCCAACATTGATTAGCTGGTGGACGAGACGACGGGGTGCGAGATGATGTCGTTCCTTGACGCTTTCATAGGGTACCACCAAATCTCCATGCATGAAGATGACGCTGAGAAGACGGCATTCATGACCCCAGAGGGAATCTTTTGCTACCTCGTCATGGCCTTCGGACTCAAAAACTCCGGCGCCACCTATACTAGGATGGTGGCCAAGATCTTCAGAGCGGTCCTTGGCCGGACGATGGAGGCATACGTCGACGATATGATCGTCAAGAGCAGGCAGGCCTCCTCCCACGCCGACGACCTCCGGGAAATCTTTGAAATCATGAAGGAGTTCAGGCTCCGCCTCAACCCCAAGAAGTGCGCCTTCGGCGTCCAGGGCGGCAAGTTCCTCGGCTACATGGTCAGCCGGAGAGGCATCGAGATAAACCCAGAGAAGACACAGACTATCATCAACATGGAGCCGCCCCGCAACGTCAAGGAAGTACAACGACTAACGGGGCGCCTGGCGGCCCTGAACCGGTTCCTCTCCAGGTCAGCCGAGAGGGCACTTCCCTTCTTTCAGATCATGCGTAAAGCCAAGAGAGCTTCAAGTGGACGACGGAGTGCCAGGAAGCGTTCGAAGAGTTGAAGAGGTACCTATCGTCCCCGCCCGTGCTCTCTAAGCCCAAAGCCGGCGAAACCCTCTTCTTGTACTTAGGGGTGAGCACGTCGGCCATCAGCTCCGTGCTCATCCGTGAGGACGAAGGGGTGCAAAAGGCCATCTTCTACATCAGCAAGACACTCAGGGAGGCCGAGCTCAGGTACTCCCCCATTGAGAGGACGGTGCTAGCCATCGTCCATACGGTGAAGAAACTGGGACACTACTTCCAGGCCCATGCCGTCCATGTGCTGACCCAGCAGCCTCTCGGCGCACTCATGAGGAGCTCCACCAGCTCCTCTAGGATGGTGAAATGGGCAATCTTCCTCAGCCAATTTCAAATTGAGATCAAGCCAAGGCCATCTATCAAAGGGCAAGCCTTGGCCGACTTCGTCACTGAATGTACAGCAAGGGAGACGGCCGTCGCCGACCCCGGGACGGAGCTGGACGATACATGGATCCTATTCACTGACGGCTCGTCGACCGCGAAATCATGCGGTGGCGGCGTCGTCCTCATATCCCCTGAAGGATTCAGAGCTTACTATGCCATCCGCTTCAACTTCAGGGTATCCAACAACGAGGCCGAGTATGAGGCCCTCCTCAGCGGTCTCAGACTCGCCGCCGGCCTCAAGGCCAAGCACCTCAAAATCAAGTGCGACTCCAAACTGGTAGTGGGCCAGGTGGAGGGATCGTACGAAGCAAAGGAGGGACGGATGCGACAGTACAAACAGGCAGCATAGGAGTTACTGAAAGCGTTTGAAACCCACGAGATCACTCAGATCCCAAGGGCCGAGAACGCCGAAGCCGACACCCTCTCCAAGCTCAGCTCAGACACTCTAGAGCACATCTCCGGGATAGCCAACATCGAAGAGCTGAGCATGTCTAGCATTCACGCCAGCCCCATCCTATGCATCCAACAGCGACCAGAGGACTGAATCTCCGACATCGTCACCTTCATCACGACGGGGGGACTGCCCCCGGACGAGGAGAGGGCCAAACTTGCCAAACTTAGGGCCCCAAGCTACACCATTGAAGATGGCAAACTCTACAAACGATCCTATAATGGCACTCTCCTCCGGTGCCTGCACCAGGATGAGGCCGACATGGCCATGGAAGAAGTTCATTGTGGCGTCTGCTCCTCGCACCAGGGCCCTTTCAACATGTCCCGACGTCTCGTCATCCAGGGCTTCTTCTGGCCGACGATGGCGCGAGACTGTGCGGACCTGGCTAGGAAGTGTACCACGTGCCAGGTGCTCCAGAAGGCCCCTGGTCGGCCAGCCGTCAACTACGCCCCCGTCAGCACCGCAATTCCATTCTCTAGATGGGGGATTGACCTGGTCGGCCCCCTGCCCAGAGCCGCCGGGAACAACCGCCACATCATCGTCGCCGTCGACTACTTCACCAAGTGGGTCGAGGCGGAACCCTTGGCCAGCATTACGGGGGCCAGATGCCAAAAATTTGTTTACAAAAACATCATCACACGCTTCGGCGTCCCCCAGGAGATTATATCAGACAACGACACCCAATTCGAGGCAGCCCCTTTTCAGGAGCTCCTCCGGGAGTTTGGGGTGAAGCATCGTTTCTCCTCCGTTGCCTACCCTCAGGGCAACGGCCAGGTCGAGAACGCCAACAGAACAATCATGGAGGGGCTGAAGAAGAAACTTCAGGCCGCAGGAGGTAGTTGGGTCGACGAGCTCCCCAACATCCTGTGGTGCTACAGAACCACGCCGAGGAGGGCGACAGGTGAAACGCCTTTCGCCCTATGCTACGGCTTTGAGGCAAAGGCGCCCACGGAAGTTGCCATCCCCAGCCGACGGGTGGAGCAATACGAGCCTGACGCCAACGAAGAAAACATGAAAATTGACCCGCACCTGATCGATGAGAGGCGTGAGCAAGCTTACGTCCGAGCAGAGAACTACCGGCGTCAAGTAAAATCATACTATGACGCCAAGGTACGTTCCCGGGAATTTCAGGTGGGGGACTACGTCCTCCGCCGAAGGGAAGCAAGCCAGCCGACAAAGGGTGGCAAGCTAGCATTGAAGTACGAAGGGCCCTACATCGTCAGTGCCGTGGTCAAACCCGTCACCTACAAGCTTAAACGCCCGAATGGGTCCAATGTACCACGAACGTGGAATGTACACCATTTGGTGAAGTTTTATCAGTAATCCGAAGGAGGTGCAGACGGCGAAGCCCTCACCCCTTAACGGGTTACTGATTGAACACCACCGTCGGCCTCGAGCCACTTATGAATAAAATCATGTCCCTCTTGATTTTTTCTCTGGAATATTAAAGTAAAAACATTAGCAGGCGCCCTCATCGGCCACCTTAGAGCGAAAGGCTCAGGCATGGCCGACGGGGCCCCTTGCATTTGCAGCCTACGATCGACAAGATCAGGCGTTCCATTGTATTTTGTATCAGCGAAGGGCTCAGGCCTAGCTGAGAGAGCACATCATCCTGGCCCCGTAAGCCTAGAAGTGAAACGCTCAGGTATGGCCGACGATGTCCCCAGGACGAGGGGCCCGCAAACGGCCCACGTCTTGAAACGGGAAGCTCACCGCGTCGTCCACGCGCCAGATCGCAGGACGACAGGCCTGAAATCATGGCCGAGGTGACAAAATCCCAAAACTCAGGGATGGGCAACGACAGCCTTTGGAAACCGACCAAAAGTCTAGCCCGCGTCATAAATAGGCGACGGGACCCGCCCTGAGATCACGGACGTTATAAACGAAGTCCGAACCGGCCGAAGGACGAGCACACCCTTCGGCCGAAGCCTGAAAGAAGGATACTCCCCGAAAAAGGGGACGGAAACAAAAAAAAAAGGAAAAAGAGGGAAGCCGACGGCCGTGCGCACTAGCCGGCCTCGAGCAATGAAAAAATAAAATCCCCACAATTCAGGCCCAACTAGGCCAAGTACATATCAGTTGAACACAAGTATAGTACCACTAACAGGTGACATGGACGATACGTCCACACACCACAAGGGAATGGTCAAGGCCGAAGCATACGCCTATAAAACCCTAACCGAATCGGTTGGGTGACACGCGAGAGGTAACCTTCATCGGCCACAACCCTTTGAAGCACCAACGCTTGGTATGAAATAAAGAATCACAATCCTGAGGATGACCAGGACGAAGCGGGCACTTATCACACCCGCGGAAGAATCAAGCAGTCAAGAAACAATCCCTACTGGCCACAGCATCCCGGATGGCCGATACAGGCACTGAAACCCAGGCCGTTGGTCACGCGAATGTTCTTCGGGGATTTGCCCAAGTGTTTACCAAACACTTAGAGAAAATTCTGAGGGAAAAGGTTCCTCAAGAAGGAACTATGTCTTAGCCGATGAAGGTAGGGCCATCTCTTTAGGAAAGCAAGGGGCACCCTCATCGGCCACAAGCCAGACCTTGGCCGATGAGGGTAGGGCCACCTCTTAGCCGGCAGCGGTACCGCAAAGAAGGAACTATGTCTTGCATTTATACTTAGAAAAATCTCTAAGTACTTAAATGGAGAAACTCTAGACGAAGCGGGTACCTGTATACTCCAAGGCCGTTAGCTACCTACGCCTTGCATGTGTACTTAGAAAAAATCCTATGTTCAAAAAAGTAAGTTCAAGGTGCCCTTATCGGCCACAACACAAGGATCCAGGCCGACCTCCCTGATCAGATCAGATGCAAGGGAACACGACGGCCATGAAAAACACTGGGCCGACAACGACATTGGTTCAACACTTGGGAAATCTCCCAAATCATTTGTCAATAATGAGGAGAGATCCAATACCAGGACGATGAGAACACCCGTCTACTTGAAGTTAGACACTTAGAAAAATTCTAACAAAAAAGAAGAATGGGACAACGCCAGGACGTAGCGGACACCTCAGTTTGCCTGCCTCAGTCAGGACGGAAAGAAAGACACTAAGACAAACCCTAGCTAAGTGGATCCAAAACACTTAGGAAATTTTTGAATAAATCCCAAGTGTTACAATAGCGAAGAAACACCGGACAGGCCGACCAGACCACCAGACTGAATGGACTACCTCACGGACGTAGCAGACACTCGCGGGTGACCTAAGTTGTAACTTTTACACTTAGAAAAATTTCAAAACTGAAATAGCAAAAGGGAATAGACATGCAAGACATTCAAAGCCGAGCAGAACAGCAAGACGATTCATTCATAAACAATCAAGTACAATGGTGGGCGCATCGGCCATTACATCAGCTGGGCAAAAAATAGAAAATTAATTACAAAGATAGGGAGCGGGTAGTAGCCGATCAAGTCCCTTGGGCGCCTCCTTCCTCAGCTAGCTCTTCGACATCTTCGGCTCCCTCCTCGGCCTCAGTCTCCTGGACGACATCAGCTGCAAAACTGGTGGCATCATCCAGGAAGTCAAACTCCGTGTAATCCGGCTCGCCGAGGCCGGAACTCTCGATTGGGGACTCCCGCTCCGAAAGAGGAAGTTTGGCCTGCTCCTCGGGGTCTTTCATCAGCTTGGGAAGCTTCAAGATCCGCCTAGCCCACCCGGAGGTATAATTCATGGCTTTGAGGGCACGCGATAGCCTCCGACACAGGAGCCTCTGCATCCGCTCTTGGCCCATGTTGTAGTACACGGCCATCTCTCTGCTAAAGTACTCCTGGCCGGCGGGGGAGTTCATTCCCCAATCTTCAAGCTTGGCGGCCACCACTTCATAACACCAGGAGAGCCGCTCATCGGCCTTCCACCCCTCGGCCAAGAACTGCTTAACGGCCTCATCAGCAGCCTTCACAGCGGCAGCCTCGGCCTCAGCTTTTGCCTTCACGGCTTCATCATTTTTGCGCCGTTCAGCCTCAAGCGCCCTCTGGCTCTCCTCGAGTTTGGACAGGGCATCGTCCCTGGCTGCAGCGGCCTCGTCGGCCCTCTGTTGCAAGGCCTTGGCATCCTCCCGGAGCCGATCCAAGCAGGCTACCGCCTCATCGGCCGAGGCAGCCTTCTGCTCAAGCTCTTTCAGACGAGCAATCTCCCGGTGCTGCCTCTTGTGGCTCTCCATAAGCATGAAGGCACCCTGCACAAAAAAGGCAAACAAAGACTCAGACAAATGATTCCACCCGGACGACGAGAAAAACGACAAATAAAAGGAAGGGAACTTACTTGGACGAGGAGGTCCATCCCGCCTTCGTACACCTTAACGTCCCCGAGCCTCTTGAGGTAGGCCCGATCTTTGGCCGGCATGGCCTGGGCCAGCACATCGTGGCCGAGGACAACATCGTCGAAAACACCCCCGCCGACGGGGTATTCCACCATCTTCTGGTAGGTGGCAGCGGCAATCTCCTTGCCGGCCCTCTTCGTCCGTGGCTCCTGGACGAGAGGGAGCGATTGGGCAGCATCGCTTGGAGCAGCAGTAAGATCCACCACGGGACCACTATCGTCCACACTTGGGACGGTCAGAGTGCCGACCTTAGTAGCATGGGAAGGAGACGGTGCCCTCTTCGTCTTCTTAGTGACGTTCAGGCCGGCCTCGGTCAATTTGTTCTGGCCTTCAGTAGGAGGCCTCTTCTTCTTGGACTGGGCAGGCTTCGGGGCCGCACCAGCAGTAGCCCCGCCCCCTCGGCCGCGGCACGTCTGGCCGCCTCGGCCGCCTTTGCAGCCAACTCCTCGGCCGCCTTGGCCTTGGCTATAGGCATGATTGAACGGCGATCCATGACAAAATCTACACAAAGGAAAACGAACAGATTAGCAAGGCAAAAGAACGAATAACAAAGGAAGAAAGCCGAAGAAAGAATTACCATCGGCCTCAGCAGGAATGCCCAAATCCAGGCCATCGGCCTCTTCGAAGGTGGTGGTCATCCTCGGCCAAAGTTGGACATCGTCCTCCTTGTCGCCATACACATAGTATCTTAAGAAGCCGAGGGCGGTCATCTTGTATTCGGTGATGTAGTCCTTCACGCTCCTCGGCCCCCTTCCAAGAACGCCTCCACCTGAGCGTCCAAGATAGAACTCCTCGGCGGGTCGTGCAGATTGAACCTCCCGGTATGGCCGAGAGAGGGAAACTCGGTGCCGTTCTCACCAAGGGATACAAAAACGAACTTGCTCTTCCATCCATGGATGGACGAAGGCAAATCCGTGAAGCTCCTCTTCTTCGGGAGCTGTTGGAGGGTAGCATAGGCCGCACAGTTTTTGTGGCTTCCTCGGCCTATCTGATACAGATTCATGAACAGAGCCGTCGTCGGCCTGTAGCCCAGCTCCTCACAGCGGAGCAAGAACCCCACCATCAATGAGTAGCTGTTCGGCGTCAGCAAGGCCGGAGGGAGCCCCACCATGTCAAGATATTCGGTGATGAAGGGATGAAGGGGAAACCTTAGCCCCTTGGCGAAACTCATCGGGTATACTCCAAAGTATCCCGGTGGCGGATGAAGTACATAGTCCGTCGGCCTGGGTGCCCTAACCCGCCCGAACGGCCCCACGTACATCTGGGCAACCAAATAGTCAGCCGCGCTGCTCTCCGGCTTGATCAGGAAGATATTTGTGAGATCCAGGTAGGAGACGCCCGGCCCACTCTTCGACCTCCTTATTCTCTTCGGCTTATCTGCTCCCTTCACGGCAGACACCGGTCTCGGGCATGGAATAACAGCGGAAGTGGACGCCCCGTCCACCACTCGGGATGCACCCGCGTCCTCGCCTCTTGAAGATGAGGCGGACTCCTCGTCCTCAACTTCGTCGTCCACCGGCTCTCCGGACTTGTAAGGACTTAAACATTCTATCTCTTCCTCGAACTCCTCAAGCACCTCATAGTCGAGTGACCTAGTGGAGGACTGGTCGTCGTACGGATAATACTCTTCGTCTAAGCTCTTCATCATAAAAACTACTACGAGCCTAAGGGGAATAACTTAGGATCTAAGGGCGTTCAAGCGCCTAACACTAGATCACTAGCCTAGGAAGCGAAGTATGCAAAGTACAGAAGATTGCGATGAACACTAACCTTGAACACGAAGAACACAAAGAACACGAGCTTGGGAGTATCTCTCTAAAAATTTGGCCAGCACTTCGACAACTCAGATTGCAAATGAGGTTTCTCGTCGGAGGGGGAGGGGTATTTATAGAACCCCCCACCCAACGGTCACTACACGTGGCACCCTCCCAATGGCCACATCAACGGCCACCAATGGGAGGCCACCACGTCACCAACGGGCCATGCCCAACCTACATATCAAGAGCCAACTGGCAAATCAGACTCTACGGCCTATACGCTTGCCGGCTCCACATAACGCCAGCAATGCTTCCACAGCGATAAGGAGATGACAACGGCTAGGAACGTAATGAACGCCCGTAACGGCCACAGAACCAAAGGAACAAAGAACCCACAGCCATCGGCTCCTCGTAACGACCCTTGATGATAACTCTTTACAAGCGATCTGCGCACAAGGGTTCTCCCACAGGGTTACCTTGCCCAGAAAATCGCCATGAGGGTTGGATTCAGGGGCACTACGGAGAGGCCGCTTTGGCCAGGGACTCAAGCAACTCCTTCACCCCTCACACTTTTCGGCCTGAAGCAGTGGGGGACTGGGGGACTACACCGGCCTCAACAAAATGAAAAGGAACAATGCAAAGAACACAAATGTAACCACAAAGCATGATCACATCGTCCATGCATCACAACGGCGCCAAGGCTTTCGTGACTCCATCTCCGGCCAGGTACTTTGGACAACACGGCGCCTCGCCGGCCAAAGGCACACACACGGCCAACAGGCCACCTAAGGCAAGGACACTCATCGTCCTCCGCCACAGTTAATCATAATGGGCTCTTCGGCCAAGAACACAAAAGCCAATCAGCGACGGCCAAAAGGAGTGCGCAAACACCCTCATCGGCCACCCAAAGGAAAGGACGCCATCGTCCTCGAAACAAGGTTCAACCTCAGTGGCCTCGTCGGCCCAAATGTAAACTTCAACCATCAACGTCCAAGAAAGGGAAAGCGCGCCTTCAACGGCCACCATTGAAGCAGGACACTCATCGTCCCCAAACGAACACATCAAGGAAACAACGGCCTCCCCGTCCACAGCGAGGAGCAGGTAACGGTCAAAGCACAGAACAGGATCACCAAAATGGAAACAGCGCCAACGGCGCAACAACTAACGACCTGGGAATGCCCGCATCGGCCAAAAGCACCAAAGCACGGGAATCTACTCTCCTTCACTTCGTCTACGTCTCAGCTTAGAGAGTGGGGGACTCCTGATGGAGTATATGGGTCTGAGCCCCCGGACCCACATACTCAGAAGAACAGAAAGCACAAGACACCGAGTGGCGCCCACGTCGGCCAAGGGACCCCTGTCGGCCGAGAAGGTGCCAACTCAGATTATGGTCCTGAAGCCAAGGAACCCGGGTGCCCTCGTCGGTCGTGCCCTCATCGGCCGTGCCCTCGTCGGCCACGCCCTCGTCGGCCGCGAAGACCTCACAGAACCGGATTTCACACTTACTCATTTGTACAGCCCATTAGTGGCTTTGTATTCGGCCCAGTAGCGGTCCAGTTGTAAATGGACCTCCCAAGCCCAAGGCTTGGGAGCCCAGCCCGTATTTTCTCTATAAATACTCCCCTTGGGAGTAGTTATAGGGGTTACAAATTCATTCTATTGAAGCATATTATTGCACTTCTCTCTCTAGCTCTCACTTCTCTCTAGATATACTCTATCAATAATGTTGTCATTACAATATGCATGCAATAATCTATCTTTGTAGTATTCGAGCAAGGAATTGAATGGGTTGTGTACTTGTGTCTTCCTCAATTGTCTTGCTCCGTATTAGAAATTTAGAATTGTCTTTGATCACATAAGTATAATTGTTCCAAGTCTTTTAAACTAGTATATGTAGTGGTGTTTTTTACATCTTAAAACACACCATAATGCCAAAAGTGGGAATGAAAACTTGTAATGTCAAGTTAATTAGATTTAGTCTCATTAATCATTAGAGATGTATTTAATTGGATTTTACTATGTAATTTTTTGATATAGTATAATCCAGTTTGATGTGTTTAAGTCTCTACATGTTAAGAAGTCAAATACATGATTATACAATTGATCAGAGATATTAAAGAAGATCTCAAATTTGATAAATAAGGATGTATTTAGTTTGAATATTTATTTCCGATCTGATTTGTTTAATTTTAACCTAATCACGTATGTTTTACATGCATTTTGCAACTATCGTAATTTGATTTGATCTGATCCGATTTAATTAAATATGAACTATTTAAATTTGATGTAGTCCCGTCTCATTTCACATAGGATGATAGGAACATCATCACTTAAGATAAAATGAATTGTCTTCATCATTTTAACTAGGGTGGACATATGAGTTTGATTTAAAGCAATTGAAACGAAACCAGAACAATATCAAATAAGAACTTAAGAAGCAAAAGATACCTCAACTATGGCATGAGCTGCTTGCTTTAGGGTTGATCTTGGTTCAAACCACTGATCTCCTCCACGTCAAGGAGAGGAGAGACATCGATAACCGGAGCAATTGGATCGACGCTTACGTGCACATGCAATTTAGTTTGAGTTTGATAATATTTTCAATTTAACTATAAATATAGAAACCATAGCATGACCTTAGAAATTAATGGTCTCCTTTCTTCTCTGGTCTCACTCCAAAGAAAAAAATGGTATCCTCCAAAGTTTCCCCCGGGTTTTCTACCTCCGTACCTGCGCAATTCCCTCCCTACCAACCCCTCCTCCATTCGGAACCCCAACAACCCCAGTACGTCATCGTTTTACCGCGCTCCCCTCCCCGTCGTTCCTTCTTCCACCGGAACTGCTTCTTCTGCTCCGCCGTCATCATTCTCCTTGCAGTTTCCGTATTCCTCCTATGGCCCTCGAATCCAGAAGTCTCGGTTTCCCGCCTCCATCTTCGAGGCTTCAAAGTCCACCTAATCCCGCCCTCCTTCGACATAACCCTACAGCTCACTCTGAAGGTCCGCAACAGAGACTTCTACTCCATCGATTATAAGTCTTTGGTCGTATGGATCGGCTACAAGGGAAAGATGCTGGGGAACGTCACTTCGGATGATGGGCACCTCAAAGCCAGAGCCTCTTCGTACGTCAACGCCACGCTTGACCTCGAAGGAGTTGAGATCTTCAGCGATGTGATTTCGCTAATCGAGGACGTTGCCAAAGGCTCGATTACTTTAGATACGGTTACTCAAATTAATGGCCAACTCGGACTTTTCTCCTTTGATATCCCTCTGCAGGTAATCCCCCATTGCCTTTGATAAGAACATTGATGCTATTGTATGAGTTAGTTTTAAAGATTTGGAAAATGTGACATCTTTAATCGATAGCATTTCCTATTAGAGTTTTTCAAAGTACATTCGTTGGTGTTTTTTTGTTATGATCTCATCTAATGAGCCAATAACGCATGAAGACTTGATCTCTTATACATAAAGATATAATCTAATCATTATCTTCTTGTTTTGTTATGTTTTGTTGTGTTTTGTTTAACTTGACATGCTATTTTTATAAAATGACTTCAAGATGGTGCAGTAGCCAGTATGTACTTATCTAGTTTGAGCAATTGAAATTTCAAAGTTAATGCTGTCAAGAATTGTCTATATATATATGCTGTTGGCCATAATTGCTTTTGTATGCTAAATTGCTACTACTTAAACCGGCTATAACTTCTAATTTTCATTCATTTTCTTTTTCCAAAACCAATTGTAAGCATTCTCCATTTTCCCATTTAAGTGAACATACTTGCATACCTTTATATGTAGTATATTTTATGCTCTGCAGAGAAAACAAGTATTTTCTTTTTCTGGGCGCTACATTTTTTTTTCCATTCAAGAAATTCAAAAGAGAGAATTCCCTAAATAGGAGCAAAACATAAGCAAAATGAAAAACAGGGTATCATGTTTTGAATGGGAGTAACTTTAGTGTTTGGACAAGTATACCCCTACCCAAGCCCCAACAACTTTTAATTAAATGTTTAATTCCTAATAAATTCGAAAAAAATTCAAAAAATCGTAGAAAAATAATTAAAAAATTTATAAAATATTAATAAAATAAAAAATTTTTAAAAAAATATTTTTTTTTTAAATTTTTTATTTTTTTAAAAAATTAATAAAAAATAGTAAAACTCCATAAAAAAATAAAAAAAAATATGGATGCCTTTCCCACAGCTTGTAATACCTCCCTGCACCACCACCTCCGGGCGGTGAAAAAAAAACCATTTTTCCTAAAAACTGCCGTTTTTCTGAAAATGCCGAAAACATGACATATTTCTCTTTGCGAATGCCAACATTTTCATTGTTTTCTGCCATAAATATGGCATTCGTAATGAACTTGGCATTTTTTTCCCCTGGTGACTGGAGGTGGTGGTGCTGAGGCGGCAGAGGCGCCGGTGAATTTTATTTTATTTTTTTGAGTTTTTATTTTTTTTTTAATTTTTTTTATATTTTTTTATTTTTTGAAAAATAAATAAATAAATAAATTATTATTATCGAATAAGTCATAAATTAACTAGGTTAGGATTAAATAAGTCATATTTTAGAATTAACTAGGTTAGGGATATTAAGGGTACAAAATTAATGTTTACTCCTATTGAAGGAAGTTTTAAGTTTTACTCCTATTTGTGCAATTATGTTTATATTTACTCCTATATTGGGCAATTTCTAAATTCAAAAATGAGATTTTCCTTAATGCATCTTCATGATTGGTATAGTTGAATAGATCTAGCTCTGCAAAGGGTGAAATCCTAACGAAGGGATATGAAATGTACTGTTTGAATAATAATTGCTTGTGATGTGGTCATGTGGATTTCCACTATGAGTGCTCATTTTTTATGAATTTGGCTCCATTCAATCCTCAGAAATTCTTCTTGGTTGTACACAACTTGTACACAAATGTCGTCCATAGACAATTTGTGTGCTGGCACACGTAAGCTACCTGTGAGCACACAAAGTGGCCTGTCCACAGAAAACTTTTGTCTGTATCCACAGTCGTCATTGACACTAGCGTGTAAACCAATCTCTATGTGTGCAGCGCCTATGTGCACAAACAATACGTGCCTGTCTATTCAGATAAATCTCACCACACAGACAATAGTTATGAGCTCATTGTCTGTGTGATCATTTTTAATTGTCTGTGTTGAAATAGATCTTATTACACAGACAATAGTTGTGCTGCTTACAAACAATAGTTGTGCTGCTCACAGACAATAGTTGTGCTGCTCACAAACAATAGTTGTCTATGTGATCTACTTTTGTTTTGTGTGTGATCAATTTTAATTGTCAAATGAATGATGTAGTTGTGTGTGCTCAATTTACATGTAATTGGATTTTTTTCGAAAACATAATAAAAATAGATGGAAATGGATAAATAAGTTGATTTTGTGTAAGTAATGGAAGTAATTGGATATAAAAAAGTAGAGATGAAGAGGATGGAGAAAGGAAGAGGAGGATGAAGAAGAGAAGAAGATCCAATCTTCTTTTGGAAATCCAAATGGGCTGGGTAGAGAGGCAAGAGAGAATGGAGAGAGAGGGAAGAGAGATGGAAGAGGAGGAAAAAATGGGAGAATTGGATCGGTAAAGTTTTAGGTTTATATAATTTGTACAAGTTGTGTACAACTTGTGTACAAATGCAATTTTCCTTCAAACATTACCTACATCAAAGTTTGGTAGTTCTATGCATTTCTCGGTTAGGTTTTCATTGCCAAAGGTCGAGTGCTCCTCACCCTGCTATAATCCTTCCATCCTGTGTTCTTAATGTTGAGCTTTCCTCGATTGTGTCAAATGTGCATACACTATACTCATTATGTCTTGCCAGAATTCATAATGCGCTTCATATTAAACTCATTTATTCTTCCTCATCGTTTTTATGTTGCAGGGAAACGTGTCATGTGAGATTGTTGTAGATACAAATAACCAAACAATTTCCCACCAAAATTGCTACCCTGAGGTATCTGAATGGCTATTGTCTTGTGTTTTTGCATATATTCCAAGTTAAAGAGGCATATATTATTATTAACTACCGATAACTTTCTTTGATGCCCAATATTTTGTTGATGGTATTCTTCAACTGCAACTGACAGCGGGCTTAAACTTTGTTGCGCAGTAATAACCTGTTGAGGGCGACTTTGTATCATATCTAATGAAGGGTCGGTCTGCGAAGCACAAAATGCTATAAGGAGTTGACGTATGGGTGTTTGACACGTCGTACACGTGACAAGCTCTGTGACACATACCTTTTAAAAGTAACATTCTTTGCACTTCTTTTGATTTTGATATGATGTAGAAGGTCTGCCCTTGCCCAGACTCGCATTCGCATAGTGTTCGTGGCCTTGTGGGTGCTTCATGGAATCCGGGATGCAAACATTTGGGTTTTTGTGACTTTATTGTCCTCACTGTAGCTTGTACATAAGCTTGTTTATACCTTTAGCTCTTTGATACCTCTTTTATCTCTTTTCCTTTTGTGTGTATAGAAACTTAGAAATGGTGGAGGGGGAGGGGGGGGGGGGGGGGGGGTGCTCTTTTGCTGTAGAACTGTAGTATAATATAATTAATATGATGAAAGATGAAAAACTATGTAACTAAAGTCAACCGGCCATAGAATCTCTTCATTTAATTCACTGTAACAGTGAAGAAAGGGTGGGGGTGCTGAGGTGCTCTTTCGCTCATGCCAGAAAAACGTTATGGGGATCAATCTCTCTTCGTCCCCATCAATGTGTTGAAGTTGTTTTTGAAATTAAGTTTTTATTATAACTTCCACACTAAGTTCTCCTTGAGTGTATCATTACCATTATAACTAATTGTCTCCAAATTATGAGCCATGTATCATTACATGATGTAGTTAACACGCACTTCCCTCTGAAAAGAGGCGACACAAATAAGGTGTCATGTAGGTGTATAGCTCCCTGATCCAATTCATGTGTAATTTAGCTTGCCTCATTTCAGAGGGTTTGAAGTAGAGTTGGACTCGGGCCGGGTGGCCCGATCCAGAACCAGCCTGGGACCGGTATTGTTCTGGCCCGGCCTGACCCGGTTAGGAGTGGACTCGGGCCGGGCCAACCGGCCCGGAACCGGACCGGCCCGCTATTGTGCGGGCCCGGACCGGCCCGGTTTGTCGGTTAGGTCACGGTTCGGGCCACCCGGCCCGGTCATGTAGCGGTTCGGGCCCGGGCTGATATTTTGGTGAACCGGCCCGGTCCGGGCCTCAACGGTCACAATTTTTTTTTTTTAATATTTGAAGGCTCTACTAGCCGTTGGGAGACCTCCCAAACGGCTCTATAGCCGTTGGGAGCATAGGAGGGGGGGGGGGGGGTCTGGGGGGTTAGGGGGGGTGGGGTGGGGGTGGGGGTGGGGTATACAAAAAAAACTCCGAGCAACTCCCGCTACTGAACAAAGCTCAGGTAACGAGTTTTCTTTGTATCTAATATTGAATGTTGATTATGAAGTTGGTGATGACTTTGACGTTCTTAAGTGGTGGAAGGAAAATGAAAGAACATTCCCGATTTTATCAAAGATGGCTAAGCAAGTACTAGCAATGCCGATATCAACCGTTGCCGTGGAACAAGAATTCAGTGCGGCCGGCAACGTCCTAACCGATTATAGAACGAGGTTGAGCCCGAGCTCTCTTGAGACACTAGTTTGCTTTCACGATTGGTTGAAGGCCCAACGAAGAACTCAAGAAATTACCATCACTCCCTCCCGCCACTTTATGGAGGAAACAACCGAAGGCGGAGAGTCCGATTGATTTTTTATTACAAAATGTATTACATTTTTTAAATTCATCCTAATTCTCAATTGTACTTCTTATTTGAAATAAATATACTTCAATTCAAATATAATATATTGTAATTGTAATAAGAATTATTCTAATTATATAATATTTTTTAAAAAAAATTAAATAGGCCCGGCCCGGCCCGGCCCGTGAACCGGGCGGGTGACCCGAACCGAACCGGACCCGGGGTTATCCGGGCCGGTTCCGGGCCTGCCATTCTAGAACTAAGGCCCGGCCGGTTCTAGGCCTGAACCGGGCCCGGCCCGAACCGAGTCCACCACTAGACCCGGTGGCCTGGTCAGTGACCGGTCCGGGTAGGCCTGACCCGTGGGTTTTCCGGTCCGGGCTTGGGTCACCAAAAACAAGGCCGGCCCGGGCTCGGGTCTTGTTCAGGCCAAAATTGTTTTTTTTTTCATTTTTTTAAATTTTTGGGTTGGGCTGGGTATTTTGGGCCATTTGGGGTGGTTTGGGGGGTTGGGGGTGGGAGGGGGGTTAATTAGGAAGAGGGGAAAAAATTGATAATAGGCCCGACCTGGCCCGGACCGATCCCGGGCCCATCTATTCAGAACCGGCGGCCTGGCTGGGCCTAGGCCCGGCCCGGGTACTAGCTAGGTTTTGTCAATAATGCCGTTTTTGTTTATAGTTGGGATTTGGAATTATAGAACTTTGGACATCTTCACACTGTAAATGGTTCGTATCATCATCAGGGAAAAAAATCAATGGCATTATCATTTTCATGGGATACACCAAATCTATGATGAGTCTAGCTAATAGCCAAATCCTCTCTTGGCGATAATCTCAGAGCAAACAAGTCGCGTCTGCAAGATGTATATCTACCTTAGCCTTGTGATGACTGAAACATGCCCTTCTTGGACTGTGGAATTAAAGGGGTTGATACTTGATAAATGATAATACATTGTTAGTGCAATATCACTCCCTTTATCGATCTCTCTTTCTTTCTCTAGTTTGAGCATCACATATGTACCAATAAGTGTTTTGAAATATACGAATAGATCATGTTGATCTAATCTGAATCGGAATGTCTCTGATATGATACTTTGTACGGAAAATATGAACATTTGGCACCCAATGCATGTAGGGAATGGATCTGGGTCGGGTCCAAGCCTGGTCCTGATGGGTCGTGGTCAATTGAAGGCCGATGGGGGCGCTGGTCGACGGAGGCACTAGCCGACGGGGGCATCGGCCGACGGAGGCATTGGTGACGGGGGCACCGGTCGATGGAGGCACTGGCCGACGGGGCACCGGCCGATGGAGGACAATTCTTCTCCTTGGCTTCTGGACCGAATTCTGGATCGACTCTTCCTCGGCCGATGGAGGGCCAACTGGCCGAGGGAGGACCCGCTGGGTGACAGCTGCGCTTCCTCTTAGTCTCCTGAGTATGTGGGTCATGGGGTCTGGACCCATATACTCCATCAGGAGTCCCCCACTCTCTGAGCTGAGGTGTAGACGAAGTGAAAGGGAGTAGATCCTTGTTGTTATGACGCTTTGGCCGACGGAGGATTACCTGGGAGTTCTAGTGTATCTGGCCGAGGCGGTGCCATAATTGCTGGCTGCCTTGTCCTTCATTTCGAGGATGACGAATGTCCTTCATTTTGAGGACGATGAATGTCTTTCGTTTTGAGGACGATGAATGTCCTTCGTTTTGAGTATGATGAGTGTCCTTCATCTTGAGGACGATGGATGTCCTTTATTTTGAGGACGATGAGTGTCCTTCGTTTTGAGGACGGTGGATGTCCTTCACCTTGAGGACGATGAGCGTCCTTCATTTCGAGGACGATGGATGTCCTTCACTTTGAGGACGATGAGCATCCTTCGTTTCGAGGACGATGGATGTCCTTCACTTTGAGGACGATGAATGTCCTCCGTTTTGAGGACGGTGGATGTCCTTCACCTTGAGGACGATGAGCGTCCTTCGTTTCGAGGACGATGGATGTCCTTCACTTTGAGGATGATGAGGGTCCTGTACCAGAGGACGTTGTGCGCCCTTGGCTCTGTGGACGAAGAATGTCCTGCCCTTGTGCTTTTGACTTTAGTTGATGGATCTTACGCTTGCGGACGTTCGTGACGCGTTCGTTTTGTTCGTGATATGGATGATGAATGTCATAGTCCCGGAGACGATGCGTTCCTTTGGCCTTAAGGACGAGGAGTGTCCTTGGCTTCGAGGACGATACGTGCCCTTGATCTTTAGGACGATGTGTGTCCTTGACATTGAGGATGATGTGCGTCCTACTTTGCGCTTCGGCATGGCCGAAGGGTGAACACATGGTTGTTGGACATTGAGGTACCATTGTGATGGGCTTGTGTTCGTTGGATTTTGATCTTGTTTATCTTTGCGCTGGAGGCCGATGTAGTCCCCCAGACCTTCTTCTGGCCGATGGAGACATGGCCGACAGAGGTACCACTTGGTAGTCCTTGCTTGTTATTGCTTTCTGGATGTTTTCATGTATGTGGAGGCCGATGTAGTCCCCCAGTCCCCCACTCCTCGAGGCTCATGTAATGAGGTGAAGGGGAGTAGAGCAGTACACGTCTTAAATAGGGGGCCGAGGGCCGACACCTTTTGATCCACAATGGGGCGATGCCTCGTTAAAAACCTCATTAGGAAAAACCCTGTGGGAAAAAATCCTAATGAGGGAAAAAGAGCACACCGGATCCCCCAAAATGAACTCCAAGGGGTGAACCCTTCGGCCTAGGCGTGGAGCTGCAGCGATGTCCGTCTGCTGAGGGGACGCTCGCCTAGTGGTGAGGACGAAGACGCTGATGAGCCGGTCCGAATATGAGGAGGAGGCCATAGATGCCTGTCTGAATGTGAGGACGACGGTGGTAATGAGCCGTGCGTCATTTGAAGGCGACTGTCACTATCCAGGAGGGGAATGGCGAGCCCGGTCGCTATAACAGTACTTCAGCGTTGGGAGCCGGTCCCGAGATATGAGGACGACGACGATGATGAAGTCGATCGTCATACAAGGGTTGAGGAAGCCGGTCTTGAGATAGATGATCACGTTGAGGCCGAGGGGCCGTTCATTTTGAGGACGAGGGTCGCCATCCAAGAAGGGAATGGCGAGCCCGCTCGCTGACCTAAGACTCTCGGCGCTGAGGAGGCCGGTCTTGAGATGAAGTATCACGTTGAGACCGGGGAGTCTGCCGTGATCTGAGGACGACGGCGCTGATGAAGCCGCTCCTCATATGAAGGCGAGGGTCGCCATCCAGGAAGGGAATGGCGAGCCCGCTCGCTGGCTTAAGACGCTCGACGCTGAGGAGGCCGGTCTTGAGATGAAGGATCACGTTGAGACAGGGGGGTCTGCCGTGATCTGAGGACGACGGTGCTGATGAAGCCGCTCCTCCTATGAAGGCGAGGGTCACCATCCAGGAAGGGATTGGCGAGCCCGCTCGCTAGCTCAAGACACTCAACGCTGAGGAGGCCGGTCTTGAGATGAAGGATCACGTTGAGATCGGGGGGTCTGCCGTGATCTGAGGACGATGGTGCTGATGAAGCCACTCCTCGTATGGAGGCGAGGGTCACCATCCAGGAAGGGAATGGCGAGCCCGCTCGCTAGCTCAAGACGCTCAGCGCTGAGGAGGCCGGTCTTGAGATGAAGGATCACGTTGAGACCGGGGGGTCTGTCGTGATCTGAAGACGACGACGCTGATGAAGCCGCTCCTTGTATGGAGGCGAGGG